GCACATGTGCCAGTGCTTTGATGTTTTGGGTGAATTTTGTTAGGACTAGTCAGGCTGCTGCTTCCTCTGCCATGGGAAATAACCAAGAGAATGGAGGTGATGTGTATGTGAGCACTAACCCTAGATGTGAAGGTGCACATGTGAGAAGGCTTAGCTCTTAGATGTGCTCTTTGACTTCCCACACCTGCCTCCCTATCTTCCTGAACAATTTTACACAACTGCTTTAGGATTTGTGGCAATGATAAGATCATGGAGCCTAGCCTGGAAGTCCCAGATTTTATCCCAAAAGGCATATGTGGCTGTGGTTAACAAAATTCCCTCCACCTCATCCATTTTGGGGTGCTGAGGTTGACCTTTCCTCTCTGGATCCATTGGAAATGGTGTTTTGAAATAAAACAAAAGAACACAAAAAAGACAGGGCAAACTTTTTTATTTCAGTTGTTGCAGGTTGTCTCAGTAGAGATTTTCAGAAATGGAGCTATGAAAGAGTGTGCAAACTTGTCTGATTTGGGGAAGGTTCTAGCTGCTGGCCCGCTGGAGAGCAGTGGTTGTGGTTGGTTGAACTTGCAGTGCTGATGACTGCAGCCTTGGCACTGTGATTTCTATTTGACCTCACTGTGACAAGTGCAGGGGAGCACTATCAGTACACTAATTCGGCCCGCTCTGAACAGGTGACCTGAGAACATATCTCACTGTGCCTTGTCCGAGCTGTATTCCGACTGTCTCCATAACTGGATTAAAGGGCCTGAAACAACTTACATTGGTCATGTGGGGTTTTCTTTTCTCTTTTCCTTCCCACTCCCCACCCCTTCTTCTTTGTTACAAACCAATCTTCAGTAGTACCTTGCACAGTTATACCATGGTATTCTTTTGTTGAATATCTATTTAAGTATTCTCTTGTCAGGGGAACAGGAAATGCTTGTGCCTAAAGGTGCGCTACATTTCCCAGGTGTTTTTAGTACGCTCATTTCAAAGTTAGCCAGCTTGTACTTTGACTATGGGAAGAGGAGTGGGAAAGGTGTGGTTGGGAAAAGAGGCAAGAGACGTTAGGGCCTTTTTGGTGCTGAATGGCCTGTGCACAGGCCAGCCTCTTTCTGGCCCCTCCAACGATGCCACTGACCAGGCAGAACAGAGAAAACTACCCAAGTGACTTGCTACAGACACCCAACAACCTGACTAACATCATCCTGGTCTTTGGAGGCTGTGACTCACAGCAACCTGCTCAAGCAAGTTTTGTCCTGTGTCAGCCACTGAGACCTTGACGAAGTTGTATCCCTTGGGTTAGACGTATTGCTGAATACGAAAAGCAGTCCTGACAAAGAGCTGTTAACTATCTCAGACCACAGCTTCCTTTTCATGGAGATCTGTGACTGTCATATATCACCTACTGTTCTGAAGCTTGATAATCCAGATCTTCCCTTTTTCTTTTTTCTCTTCTCATTAGTCTTCGGTAGTATTTAGCATAGTAAGTACTAGAGAAATGTTTGTGCAATTAAAATGAAAAAGATACTCTACAAGGAACTGCGTCCTACAAATCAGTGTTAGAGTTCATCTTCCACTTTTGTAAACAGTGTGCTAGAGGCTAAAGGAGGAGCTCGGCTTCCTGCCTGACCCCTGAAAGCTCCATGCCCACAGCTGCTCCTTGGCCCTTTCAACTGGACAGTACTGTGGCCCTCTGCCCCTACCCCGACTCACATCCTGTCTCTACGCTCCACCCACCCACAAAGGACATGTTGAAGTGCTAGTCTGAGTATATCACGTTCTGGCTTAGAGTCTTTGGTGGCTTCTCACTGCTCTTAAGATAAAGACCAACATCCTTTGCATGACTGTCAAGGCCCTGGTCACTCACCCCACCTCTCTCTCTCCAACCTCATTTTGTCTGTTGTCCCTTGAGCTCACTGCATTTCCCTCACAGCCCTTCCTTCTGGGTCTCAAACGGCAGCACACGCCTCCACCAAGAGCCTCTTCCTGTAGCTCCCTCTCTCTGTCTGTCCTCTTCTCCTGGTTACACTAATGTATGCTTCAGCACCCAGGAAGGGCCACTTCTTCTCAGGGAAGCTGATCCCTCAAGCCCCAATCACAGTTTATGTGCTTTGTACTCTGAAAGGACTGTGGCCTTCCCTTGTGGCACTTGCCTTAACTGGTGACTATGTGTGTGAGTCCTTACTTTCCTGATGTTTGTCTCACTCACTGGACAGCAAAATCTGTGGGAAAAGGGCTTGTTCACCACTGTATCACCAGCATTCACACAGTGCTGGACACATAGTTGGTGTTCAGTCATGAATGAATGAATGAATGAATGATGGCTGTAACTCTTTCTAGGAAGAAAGAAACATCTTCTTAAAATCGTTCCTTTTTGGCTATTAACACATACTAGCATGTGGGGGAGAGGGTATGCCACTTCTCAGCTTGGCTTGTTGCTTAAATACTGAATCCCCTGGGGATGGTTTTATTTTTCGTTTTTCTGCTCTCCTGTTTGATCACTCCCTGACCGAGCAGGGTGCGAGCAGGCCATGTTGCAAAACACTGTGTTTTACCAGCAGGGCAGCTGTTCATCCTTGACCTTGTTTATACCGTGTTCTAGTCAGCCCCATGTAGCCTTGCAGCATTAGCCTTCAAAACTCTTTGATGTACTAAAACTCAAAGTTGGTCTGTTTAGTTCCCAGCTAGTGAGAGGAAAGGAAATAGTTCAAACAAGCAAATAAACCACAAACAAACCATACGCAGTTTGTGAGTTGGGACCAGAACTGACCCTGGGGCAAATCATTGTTCTTAACTGCTTCCCTCAGGTATACCATAAAATTCTTTAGGTATTAATTATAAAGAGAAACAAATAATAATAAAGGTCAGTAAAGAAATGTAGTCAGTGAAACTTCTTTAAATTCAACTTTGTATATAGACTCATTACAGTAAAAAAAGTCAGAATGAGTCAATTTTAACAAAACTAAAATGTCTATAAAAAATACAATTGAGACAATTACTAAAGCATACCACTGATGTAGTGTTTCATTTTCTTAATTCATTCTTGAATTTTAAAACAAGTGATTAATAATTAGAAAAGAAAGTACATTTCAGTTGTAAAGATATTATTCAAAATCAGTGAGCGATTTCCTGTATGAACAAAACTTTGCACTGAATAAACAAAGGTTTTATACCTTGCAGATTACACTTTTAAATTTCACTATTTTAAATTCTGAATACAAACAAAAACTCCCAGGACTTACATAGAATGACAGAATTGAAGAGACTCGAGTTCTGCTTCTTTGTCTCTACAATCATTGTGCTATCAATTGTTTATTCTGAATCTATCACTGTTTGAATGCAGGATTATTCATATAATAGGGACAAAAGTGCACCTGACGTGAGCTTGAAGGATTCTGAACTGTTATGAATGTACCCTGATAAAGAAGCAGGTGTAGCTGCACACCTGTGTCAGAGTTATAGCGGCCTGGGGTTCTGTGAATTAACATCTATAAGAAGGTGAAGAAGACAGAACCAAAAAGCAAAAATGTACAATCTAAAATTACAATCTATGGGGAATACAGACAACTTTTTTACAAAATAAAAAGGTGCTAATTTGAAGCTTTCATATATATGATTAAAACTCAGTAGTAACCAAGCAATTGTTTAGAATTTAGGCCAATAGAAGGTTCTTTTTTTTTTCCTGAGAGGAATATTTTATCACTGACATTGTTTAGAATTTCCAGAGGAAGGTGATAATAAAAATCAGTCAGAATTTTAGTTGGCTTAACACACCCTCTAATTTCCTCTCCCCAGGTGAATTGCTCCTGCTTCCCTGAGCTTTGGAATGCTAGTAGTTGGGATTAAAAGTTGGGAATTTGTGATGTGAAATGTGCCTGCCTTCCTGAAGTCATTCATCATGCATTTACTTGCTCATTCAACAAGTACTTACTGGACATATATTATGTGCCAGGCACTGCACTAGATACTAGGGGTAAAGGTTGAATAAGATATGGAACTGAACACAGAACGATTTACTGTCTAGTGGGGAAATAGACAAGTAAATTGACAAGTAAATACAGAGCAACAGGGCTATAGCTGGGGATAAGGTGGGAAGACGGTGAAAAGGGTGCCAGCTTGGTTACAGGGGCTCCCCTGAGGGCACGGAATTGAAGGAGAGACTCAGTTATCTCCAAGCCTGACAACCACGCCTGCCGACTTACTGATGCTGCTCCCTGTCTCCTATTCTCTGCTTTTACCAGGATACAACTTGGACTTCCAAAAGGCTACCCTTGAGCTTTATGTTTTCTATACAACCTAGCACCATGTCTCCTTGAATTGGGTTTTGGTCTTCTGGCATTTCCCCTCTGTGCTCTTCCCTTTTTTTCTCCACCACCAGGCAAGGCCCTCAGACCATGTGTCCTCGGGGCTGGCTGCACCAGCACTGCCCTCAAAGTGTCCCTTCCCATAACAGTCAGGTGGAACCCCAGGACCTAGTATGCCTAGAGTTCCTTGAATGGCCAGCGCAGACGTTAGAAATTTCATATTATTAATCTAGATATAACCTAATATAGCATGCTTATACTCAAGGTATTATTATATCATAGACTAGAAAACTAGGATATGCTTTCCAGAATAACAGAGGTTTGAAAAAACCCTTGCAGGATTCAAGTCCTGTATTTTACTTAGTTTATTAAGCCATCCTATTTCTTACTTTGGAAAGAATGATTGAGAAAATAAGCATTAAACATGGTCTTTTTAAAAAACTAAGTTGGTACATACTGTTAATAATCACAGAGATATTTGGTACCACAATCATATACATTTACAATATGCTTTCAGAGATTCTTTTGGCTAGGGTTGAAGGATTGAAGATAGCATCTGCATTCTTGTCATCACCTTTTTATTTACGTCTTACTCAGAGTTCCATGCAGAAGTTTATTGAGATTCCTTCCATCTTTTGCCTATAGATTTCATCAAATCTCTCATTCTGAGCTACAGTGAAGTGGTTTTTCCAATCCCCCACAGTTCCTAGAAGAAGAAAGCCCAGACAGGAGTGTCATTCTCTGATTCAGAGTTTTGTTGGCCTGAGGAAAGAATTGGGGTGACTGTCAACATGCCTGCCTTACCCAACTTCCCCTTCAGTGGATACCCATCCACCTGCAGCTCTCTGCTCTGAGAAGCTGCCCTATGGTGCTATATGCAGGTGAATGGCCTCTTAAATTGGGTGGACAATTGACCCAAAGGAGTTAGTGATTTGGCCCCCTCTGTGGTATATTCACATAATGGACTACTAAACAGAAATGAAAAAGAAAGAATCATTGACACACAGCCACATGGAGGAATCTCAAAACATTACATTGAACAAAAGACACCAGACACAACAAAGTGCATACTGTATGATTTCATTTATATGAAATCTAAGAGCAGGGAGAATCAATCTGTAGTGACAGAAATTACAACAGTGGTTGTCTAGGGGTAGAGTTTGACTGGAAAGGGGTATGACAGGGAACTTTCTGGGGTGAGGAAAATGTCTGATATCTTGATTGGAGTGCTGGTTATTGGGTGTATACATTTTATCAAAACTTGATCTGTACACTTAAGAGCTGTGCATTTTTGTATATAAATAAGATCTTAATAAAAAAGCCTTTTGGGAATAATATGAATGAGATATGATTTTTTACCAAGCAGTAACTATTAAAATAATTTTAGAGCCAGCCCTGATGGCCCAGTGGTCAAATTTCGGTGCTCACTGCTTCGGCAGCTGGGGTTCGCTTCCCCGTTGTGAAACCGCACCACTTGTCTGTCAGTTGCCGTGCTGTGGTGGTGGCTCACAGAGAGGAGCTAGGATGACCAGTGTGATATTCCATGATGAATGAGTTGATAATGCAGGTGAGAACCTGTATGCACTAAGCACCCTTTTCTTGAACAACTTACAAGTAGGATACCCCTTGTACTGGGGCTTTGGGAAGAAAAAAAATGAGGAAGATTGGCAGCAGATGCTAGCTCAGGGTGAATCTTCCCCTAGAAAAGAAAAAAAAAGTTTAAAAAGGGGAAATAGTATTTGTCCCACCAATGCTTCTTCTGGAAAATTATGCAACAGAAATAAAAGCATCAGGACATAAGAACATATGCCCAAAGATGGTCACTCTAGCATTATTCATAAAGACAAAAAAATTGAAAATGACAATAATTGTAGTGCCTATCACTAGGGGAATAGTTGAATAAATTATGATGTATCCATACTTTGGTACAACACGAGCCCTCTAAAAATAGTGAGCTACATGCACCTACATGTCTGGCCCGGGAGGGATGTCTGATATTCTGGTGAGCAAAGTGTATAGCATGACCACATTTTGGGTTTTAGGGAGCAAGCTTTCATCATAGTATATATGTTTGTTACGTGCAAACCTGAGGGAAGGAGAGTGTATAGAAAGATGAGTATGCGTGGTTCTGAAGAAGGGCTACTTGCCAAATCATCGCTAGGAATTATCTGAAGAGAAAAGAGTGGAATTCTTTGCTTTGTTTCGGTAGCGTGGGAGCCTGTTGTAGGTTGGAAAATACCACAATATAAATTCAATCATGTGTTAAAAAGAAAAAAAAGAAGAAAAGAAGCTGCAAAGCAGTATGTACACCATAGTTCCACCATTGTGAAAAAGAAAACTATGTGTTTATAAAACAGAGAAGGAGGGGACTTCCATACTGTTAGTGGTTACTTCTGAGGAGCAGGGTTTCGGTGAAGAGAACTTTTTTTGTGCATAATTCTGTATTGATGTAGTTTTTTTTTTTTTTTTTTAAGATTTTATTTTTTCCTTTTTCTCCCCAAAGCCCCCCGGTACATAGTTGTATATTCTTTGTTGTGGGTCCTTCTAGCTGTGGCATGTGGGACGCTGCCCCAGCGTGGCTCGACGAGCAGTGCCATGTCCGCGCCCAGGATTCGAACCAACGAAACACTGGGCCGCCTGCAGCGGAGTGCGCGAACCCAACCGCTCGGCCACGGGGACAGCCCCTGTATTGATGTAGTTTTTTACAATGACATGTATTACTTTTTAAACTAAAAAGTAATAAAGCTTTCTTTTCCTTAAAAAATATTAGCTGGGCCAATTAGAATTCCTCTTTTGGGAATTGCAGCTAAGAAATGTTAAGAGAATGAGGCAGTTCTCAGCAGTAGTTGTAGTTAAAAACCATGGTGGAGAGCAGGTCTGGGCCATGGTCAAGACAAGTTATGAGCAGAAACTGAGTCAGGAAAGCTATAAAGTAGGAAAAAGGTATAATGGGGTAGAGACAGGAGTCTGGTCAGTGTAGAAAGGCACTCATAATAGACACGTAGAAAGCAGCTGAGTCCTGTCAGTGGGAAAGCCTTAGAGTAGAGAGCCATAACCTCCTGCTGCTGAGGCCCCGACCCTTAGATCCAGGGAGCCCTGTGAGGTCTGGACCAAGAATGGCTCCCGCTCTTAATTGTCTATGAGCCTACATTTCCCTTGTTTCTCCATGTGAATCCTCATAACAAGCCCCTTGTATGGGGGCTAGCTAGAGGGACTCTCTGCTCCTTGCAACCAAATACCCCAGAGAGCTCTCTTCTATAGCAAGATTAAGTCCTCAACCTTATTAGCAGCAGATATTATGAACAGTCTAAATGTGTTGTCTTGAAATTAATAAAACCTAACATCTCGCTAAGAGGCAGGCAGGTTGTTACTAGAAAAACTGGGTATTTGATTTATACTTATATTTACATATTATTTGAGGCCCCACAAACCTTTTCTCATGAAGGGGGAAATGGACTGGTCCAGAATAAATTTGGGAACTGTAGAACGATTTGTCATGGGATTTTCTTTCATTTTCTCAAATGACGTCTCCTGGACAATTTCATCTAGCACTGTTTCATCCAAACTCTTTCCCATGAACTGCACCACCTTCTGAATTTCACACTTCGGGTCCTGTGGTGAAGATAACATTACATTGGACCGCAAGAAGGTATCACAAGTACACACTTAAATTCTTCAGGATGTCCCTCCCAGAAGCACCTGAAACAGCTTGGGATTTCTCTGTACCTGGGTCTGAAGTGGTTCTTCAGAAGGGCCTTTACTCACCCTCTTCATGTCCTCATAGAAGAGGAAGAGAACCTGGTATCTGTCTTTTATCTCCCACCATCCTTTCACATGGTCGAACCAGGAACCCCAACCCACTGTAACAGACACAGGAAACAGAACCGTCTATACAGGGATCATACAAAACCTTCCGATAGGAATTTTATTTACCTGAAGTGTGTTGGAGAGAGAAAAAAACAAATTGTGGATCAGATATAACCTAGGAGTGCTGATCTGTTTGATTTTGAGGGTAAGGTGGAATGAGACGGGCTTGGGATAATTTATCCTAACATGCTACCTAAAGCGGCTTCACATTTGTTATGTGTAATCACATATGCCATCTTATTGGGATAGAGATACCCTTTGGAGTGAGGGTGACTCTGCAGGTCAGGTGATTCAAACCAGGTGGGAGCTGTTTGCTAGGGCTGTGGGTATTCACTATGAGAGTAACCAGCCTGTTCCGCCCAGTCCCAGTCTGTGGTATGACACGTCTAAGGAGGCACACAACATTCTAGGGAGTCGAAATGTTATGTGTGATTCCTAGGTGACCCTAGCTGGAGTGGGAATGCAAATGTGTGAAGGATTATCCTTTACCTTTTCCACTGATGAAGGTTTCAAAATACTCTTCCCAGGTACCAGGGTCAGGAAGCACTTGATTCATCCTTTGGAAATGGTAGTAGGAAACCATACAGTCTTTGGCATTTCGAGCTACATAAAGGAACTTTGGGGTCAGAAGAGGAGTGGGTGAAAAGAAGGTACAAAAAGTGAATTTTCACAGAATTCATTTAGGCTGATCCACCCTGAGGTGGTTGCACACACCCTGTTCAGGTCTGCTGTGCAGCAATTCGACTTGGCCTTGCGACCTCCCTCTCTTCTGGCTGTCCCTGCTTCTCTGCCAATTCTGCTCTCTATTCCTAACTCACTCCTATGAAGTAGCCTGACTTCTCATGTCCCCATGGTGTCAGAGTCTAATTTTTCTCTAGAAACTATGACCTGACATCAAACTAAGAAACTTCCACATGCGTGCTGGTGATCCTCCTAAGACCTTCATCTTAGTTTCCTGGAGAAGCAGGAAGCTTCACGATTTAAGAGTTTGGGCCATGGTGAAAGAAAATGGCAATTTTTCTTTCTGGCCTCATTGACTCTACTATTTTCATCTCTAATCACTTCAACTCTTCCTCTACTAAGCATCCCATTAGGTTTCATTTTGATCACAACCCTGTATCCTTCCACCCTCCCAGTCTTTCATTTTAACCAAATCTGACCTTTTATCTCATTGTGACTTCTAGGTACTTAACTCACATTCGAACAGCATCAATCTCAAAGTGGCCTTATTGACTAGCTGTCTTAGATCCACGACTAGCCATTTTAATGCTATGCTGATTTTTTACCCTAAAATGGTGCTTCTCAGTTTGGAATGATTTTGCCTGCTAGGGGATGGACATTTGGTAATGTCTGGAGATATTTTTGGTTGTCACAACTGGGGGTGGCAGTGCTACTGGCGTCTAAGAAGTAGAGGCCGGGGATACTGCTCAACATTCTACAATGCACAGGACAGTACCCAGCCCCATCCCCAAGAAAGAATTATCTGGTCCAAAATGTCAATAGCGTTCTATTAACCATGTCTTTTATTTTCTGTATTCTGATCCTTTGACTTCTTGGGGTCTTTTTGGTGCTGGATGAACTGCCCCTCCTAGGGTTAGCCAGTTCCTAGAGAGAGTAAACAGCTCACCATCAACCTCACTTTTCACATGCAAACTAACCAATCCAGAGCCCACACCTCAAACACATCCCTTCTTGGGCTCTCACACATTGAGCCACTGTCTAGCTGCTCTAATCACCCCAGGGCCAGGACCAGATGACAATCCCTATGCCCCAGAGCCCACTGAAATCATTCAACCTACCCAATCCTAAACCTGCTGAGCTGTCTCACCCATTTCTTCCTTCAGAAACCGCAATAAAAGCTCTCACCCGCGTTTTACCCTCACTCCCTCTGCCTCCTGACCAGCCCTGGTGCTTCTGCATGTGGGGATTTTAAAATCCACATGAATTCTTAAATTTTTAAACTTCCGGTTGGCTTTCACTTCATTGCTTCTTGATAATCATTTTATTAATCTCTTCTTTGCTTCCTCTCATATATCTCAGCTCCAACCACAAGACTCCCTTCCTTCCTGTCTCCTCAAAACTTCATCCCATCTCTCTCTCCAAGTTCACTAACTCTCTCTTTAGCTGTATCTCTTCTGCACTTTACCTATTCTTGAGTTTTTAAATTAAATAACTGTATATTTTTTCTGTTATAGAAATCCTGTTTATTTATTTAATAAATTTAGTAAAAAATTCTGTTTTAAAAAATAGTATCTTATTACTTTATTTTTAATTCAATCTTTCATTTCCTTATGCAACTTAGACATTTTTCTTTTGTTTACATATCTGCTAAGTTTATCATCTGACGCTCTTGAGGTCTAACTCTGCTCTCTTTCTGCAGATACTCTCTCATGGTAGCTTGTTCCTTTGTGTATTTTGTAACGTGAGATGGAAAGCTCAAGTGGGAAAACTGTCAGGCCCAAGGTGAAGCTATGGCCCTCCAGAGAGGATCTGTATTTGCTTCTGTCAGGCGTCCTGGAGACACCGGCAACGGAGACCACCTTATGCTAAGTTCTTAGCTTGCAGTTTCTTGGACAATGTGAGAAGTACTAATTTGATCCTCAAACCCTTGAGAAAGGAGGCTTGTGGCTACAGATTCTTTTTTTTTATTGGTAATAAAATGAGTATTTCTTTTTTTCTTTTTTTAAATTGAGGTAACATTGGACTATAACATTATATAAATTTCAGGTGTACATCACTATATTTTGAATTCTGTAGATTACATCATGTTCACAACCCAAAGACTAATTACCATCCATCACCATACACATGTGCCTAATCACCCCTTTTGCCCCCCTCCCTGCCCCATTCCCCTCTGGAAACCACCAACCCAATCTCTGTCTCTATGTTGTTTTTATCTTCTATTTATGAGTGAGATCATATGGTATTTGACTTTCTCCCTCTGACTTATTTCACTTAGCATAATACCCTCAAGGTCAATCCGTGTTGTCACAAATGGCTGGATTTCATCATTTCTTATGGCTGAGTAGTATTCCATTGTGTATGTATACCACATCTTCTTCATCCATTCGTCCCTTGATGGGCACTTATGTTGCTTCCAAGTCTTGGCTATTGTGTATAATGCTGCAATGAACATAGGGGTGCGTATATCTTTATGCATTTGTGTTTTCATGTTCTTTGGATAAATACTCAGCAGTGGAAGAACTGGATAGGATGGTAGTTCTATTCTTAATTTTTTGAGGAAACTCCATACTTTCTTCCATAGTGACTGCAGCAGTTTGCATTCCCACCAGCCGTGTATGAGGGTTCCCTTTCCCCCACATCCTCTCCAACACTTGTTATTTCTTGTCTTGTTAATTATAGCCATTCTGATGGGTGTGAGGTGATATCTCATTGTAGTTTTGATTTGCATTTCCCTAAGAATTAATGATGTTGAACATCTTTTTATGTGGCTGTTGGTCATCTGGATATCTTCTTTGGAAAAATATCTGTTCAGATCTTTTGCCCATTTTTAAATTGTGTGGTTAGTTTTTTGTTGTTGAGATGTATGAGTTCTTTACATATTTTGGATAGTAACCCCTTATCAGATATATGGTTTGCAAATATCTTCTTCCAATTGTTAGATTGTCTTTTTGTTTTGTTGATGGTTTCCTTTGCTGTGCAGAAGCTTTTTAGTTTGATACAGTCCCATTTGTTTATTTTTTCTATTGTTTCTCTTGTTTGGTCAGACATGGTACTTGAAAATATACTGCTAACACTGATGTGAAAGAGTCTACTGCCTATGTTTTCTTCTAGAAGTTTTATGGTTTCAGGTGTTACCTTCAAGTTTAATCCATTTTGAGTTAATTTTTGTGTATGCTGTAAGATAGTAATCTACTTTCATTCTTTCGCATGTGACTGTACAGTTTTCCCACCATTTATTGAAGAGACTTTCCTTTCTCCATTGTATGGTCTTAGCTCCCTTGTCAAAAATTAATGTTCATAGATGTGTGGGTTTATTTCTCAATTCTCAGTTCTGTTCCATTGATCTGTGTGTCTATTTTTGTGCTAGAACTGTACTGTTTTGATTACTTTGTAGTATACTTTGAAATCAGGGAGTGTGATGCCTCTAGTTTTGTTCTTCTTTCTCAGGATTTCTTTGTTATTTTTATTTATTTTATTTATTTGTTATTGAGGTCTTTTGTAGTTACATATACATTTTAGGATTCTTTGTTCTATTTCTGTGAAAAATGTCATTGGCACTTTGATAGGGGTTGCAATGAATCTGTAGATTACATTAGGAAGTATGGACATTTCACTATGTTAATTCTTCCAATCTAAGAGTATGGAATATCTTTCTATCTCATTGTGTCTTTTTCAACTTCTTTCAACAATGTTTTACAGTTTTCAGTGTACTGGTCTTTCACCTCTTGTTCATATTTGTTTCTAGGTATTTTATTCTTTTTATTGCAATTGTAAATGGGATTGTATTCTAACTTCTCTTTCTGCTACTTTGTTGTTAGTGTATAGAAACACAACTGAGTTTTGCATGTTGATTTTGTATCCTGCAACTCTACCATATTCACTTATTATTTCTAAAAATTTTGGTGGATTCTTTTTGGTTTTCTTTATGTAAAACCATGTCAGTGCAAATAGTGACAGTTTTACATCTTCCTTCCAATTTGGATCCCTTTTATTTCTTTTTCTTGCTTGATGACTCTGGCTAGTACTTCCAATACTATGTTAAATAAAAGTGGTGAAAGTGGCATCCTTATCTGGGTTCCTGTTCATAGAGGGATACCTTTCAGTTTTTCTCTGTGGAGTATGATATTAGCTGTGGGTTTGTCATATATGGCCATTTTTATGTTGAGGTACCTTCCTTCTATACCTATTTTATTCCAAGTTTTTATCATAAATGGATGCTATATCTTCTCAAATGCTTTCTCTGCATCTATTGAGATGATCATGTGATTTTTATTCTTCATTTTGTTAATGTGATTGTATCGCGTTGATTGATTTGCGGATGTTGAACCATTCCTGCATCCCTGGAATGAAACCCAGTTGATCATGGTGTATGATCTTTTTAACGTATTGTTGTATTATATTTGCTAGTATTTTATTGAGGACTTTTATATTGATGTTCTTCAGTGATATCAGCCTATAATTTTCTATTTTTGTGTTGTTCTTGTCTGGGTTTGGTATCAGGGTAATGTTGGCCTTATAGAATGAGTTAGGAAACCTCCCCTCCCCTTCAATTTTTTGAAAGAGTTTGAGAAGTATAGGTATAATTAGGACTTAATGCCTTTTTTGAATGTTTGGTGGAATTCACCAGGGAAGCCATCTGGTCCTGGACTTTTATTTTTGGGGAGATTTTTGATTACTATTTCAATCTCCTTACTGGTGATTGGTCTATTCAGATTTTCTATTCCTTCTTGATTCAGTTTTGGCAGGTTGCATGATTCTAAGAATTTATCCATTTCTTCTAGATTATCCAATTTGTTGATGTAGAGCTTTTCATAGTATTCTCTTATAATCTTTCTGAGGTGTCTGTTGTAATTTCTCCTCTTTCATTTGTAATTTCATTTACTTGAACCATCTCCCTTTTTTCTTCGTTGAGTCCAGCTAAAGTTTTGTCAATTTTGTTTATTTTTCAAAGAACTAGCAGTTCATTTCATTGATTTGTTTTCTATTGTTTTTTGGCCTCTATTTCATTTATTTCTGCTCTGATTTTTATTATTTCCTTCCTTCTTCTGATTTGGGGCTTTGCTGATTTTTCTTTTCCTAATTCCTCTAGGTGCACTGTTAGATTTTTTATTTGAGCTTTTTCTTGTTTGTTGAGGTAGGCTTATATTGCTATCAACTTCCCTCTTAGAACTGCTTTTGTTGTATCTCATAAATTTTGGCATGTCATATTTTCATTTTCATTTGTCTCCAGGTATTTTTTGATTTCACCTTTGATTTCTTCATTAGCCCAATCGTTGTTCAGTAGTGTTTTGTTTAATATACACATATTTGTGGCTTTTCCAATTTTCCTCCTGTAGCTGTTTTCTAGTTTCATACTGTTGTGGTTAGATAAGATGCTTGTTAATATTTCAATCTTCTTAAATTCATTGAGACTTTCTTTGTGGCCTAATATATGATCTATCCTGTAGAATGTTCTATGTGCATTCTAAAAGAATGTGTATTCTGCAGTTTTTGGATGGAATGTTCTGTATATATCTACTAAGTGCATCTGGTCTAACGTGTCAGTTGAGGCCAATGTTTCCTTACTGATCTTCTGTTTGGATGGTCTGTCCATTGGTGTATGTGGAGTGTTAAAGTCCTCTACTATTATTGTGTTACTTGTCTTTTTCAACTTTTGTGTCTGTTAATAACTGCTTTATATATTTAGGTGCTCCTATGTTGGGTGCATAGATATTTACAAGTGTTATGTCCTCTTGTCGGATTGTTCCCTTTATCATTATGTAGTGCCCTTCTTTGTCACTTGTTACAGTTTTTGTTTTAAAGTCTATTTTGTCTGACATCAGTATTGCTACTTCAGCTTTCTTTTCATTGTCATTTGCATGGAGTATCTTTTTCCATCCCTTCACTTTCAGTTTGTGTGTGTCTTTAGGTCTGAAGTCTGTCTCTTGTTTGCAGCATATTTATGGGTATTCTTTTAAATCCAATCAGCCAACCTATGCCTTTTGATGGGATCATTTAGTCCATTGACATTTAAGGTAGCTATTGATAAGTATGTACTTATTGCCATTTTGCTGCTTTTTTTATGGGTGTTTTAGTAGTTCTTCTCTGTTCCTTTTTTCTTCTCTTGCTCTCTTCCCTTGTGGTTTGATGGCTTTCTTTAGTATCATGTTTGAGTTCCTTTCTCTTAATTTTTTCTGTATTTATTATAGGTTTCTGGTTTGTGGTTGCCATGAGGTTCATATACAATAACCTACATATATAGCAATTGTATTAAGCTGATGGTTTCTTAACTTTGACCTCTTGAAAAAAACTTTACTCTTTTACTCCCCTCTTCCCACATTTCATGTTTTTTATATCATATTCAACCTCTTTTTTTGTGTGTGCATCTATTACCCTCTTATTATGGAAATAGATAATTGTATTACTTTCATCTTTTGACCTTCATATTACCTTCATAGGTGGTTGATCTGCTACCTTTACTGTATATTTGCCCTTAACAGTGACTTTATTGTTTTTTTTTTTGCGCACGTGTGTGATAATTTTCTTATTCCTATTTGTGGTCTTTTCTTTTCCACTTAAATAAGTCCCATTAGCATTTCTTGTAAGGCTGGTTTATTGGTGATAAAATCCTTTAGTTTCTGCTTGTCTGGAAAACTCTTTATCTTTCCTTCCATTCTGAGCGATAACCTTCCTGGGTAGAGTATTCTTGGCTGTAGGTTTTTTCCTTTCAGCACTTTAAATATATCATACCACTCCCTTCTACCCCATAATGTTTCTGCTGATAAGTCAGCTGAAAGCCTTATGGGGTTTCCTTTTTGTGTAACTTCTTGCCTTTCTCTTGCAGCTTTTAGGATTCTCTCTCTAGCTTTAATTTTGACATTTTAATTATAATGCATCTTGGTGTAGGCCTTTGTGGGTTCATCTTGTTTGGTGCTCTCTGTGCTTCCTGTACCTGATATCTATTTCCTTCCCTAGGTTTGGAAAGTTTTCAGCTTTATTTCTTCAAATAGTTTCTCTGCCCCTTTGTCTCTCTTCTCCTTCTGGGATACCTATCATATGGGTGTTAGTGTGCTTGATGTTTTTGCAAAGGTCCCTTAGACTATTTTTGTTCTTTTAAATTATTTCTTTTATCTGTTTAGACTGGGTGATTTCCTCTAGTCTTTTGCTAGGTCACTGATCCATTCTTCTGTATCATCTACTCTGTTATTGAGTTCCTCTAGTGAATTTTTCATTTTCATTATTTATTCTTCATTTCTGATTTGTTCTTTTTTATATTTTCTAATTCTTTGTTGAAGATCTCACTGAATTAATCCATTCTTCTCCCAAGACCTGTGAGCATCCTTATAACTATTAGTATGTACTCTTTATCAGGTAGATTGTTTATCTCTGTTTCATTTAGTTCTTTTTCTGAGGATTTGTTCTGGTTCCTTATTTGGAACATATTTCTTTGTCTCCTCATTTTATCTCTTTCTCTGTGCTTATATCTATGTATTAGGTAGGTCAGCTATGTCTCCTGATCTTGGAGAAGTGGCCATGTGTAAGAATGCCTTACAAGGTCCAGTAGTGTGCTTCCTCTTATCATCAGTTCCAAATGTTCCAGGAGTGTCCCCTGTGTGGGCTACGTGTGTCCTTCTGTTGTAGCAGGGTTGCTCTTGCTGCAGTTGCCTGGGGAGGGTAGGCTGTCCCCTTGGCTGGCTGGTTGTAATACTCAGCTGTGTGCAGCTGCTATTGTCCTTTCAGTCACTTTATTAGGCATAGGGAGCCCTGGTACAGTTGGCTGAAAGGTCTAATAGCACATTCTTGCTGTAATTTTTCTGTTAAGTGAGTAGGCCCCCAGTGTAGCTGGTTGCTAGGCTTAGGGGCTTACAATTGCTGTAAGTAAGGCTTTGTCAGCTCTCTCAGGAGTGCAGGCAGGTGGAGTTGGCCCCAGGCATGTCAGCACACAATTGTTTCAGGCATTGGAAGTTTGGGCCAATCCCCTATGTGGCTCTTTGAGAAACACAAGTCTGCTGCAGCTGATAAGCCCCATTGTCTGCTGGCCCACACACCCCATCAATACAGTCCTGCTCTGTGCACCCAACTGAACCACTGAAGTGTACCCACTTGCCCTGCTGTAGAGGCCCCGCACACTCCACCAACACAGGCCCACCACTCCTGCACACCCTGCCCTCCAGAGGTGTACCCACTCACTCTGCTGCAGAGCAGAGGTCTCATATACCCAAACTCGTGGGTCCACAAGTTGATCCAGGGCTTGCTGTTGGGTGGGGCCATTCCCTAGAGCAGGGTGCTTGCCCTGGCTGAGCTGGGTTAAATCAGTGCTCTAGTTAGTGGGGCAGACCCTTGAACTAACAGGCCAGGAGAAGAACTCCAATGGTGTCTGCCAGTGTCTGTGTCAGCATGCCTGTACTAGGTCATAACAATGGCTGCTGCCAATGTCTCAGTCCCTGGAGAGGTGATCCCAGCCTGGAGAAGTCTCACCTCTCGCTGACATGCACCCAGAGCCTATAAACTGAGTTTCTTTTCACCAAAGGACCACACAATTTTCTTTCTGGTGGTTTTAGGTTGCTTTCTGAAATGAGTGAGTTTGTGCATGGGACCTTTAAGAGCAGGCTTTTTCCCCCTTATTTCTGATAGCTTTTCTGGGGGTATTGCCCCTTGTAGTTAATAGCCAGCAAAGCCAGACGGTATGACACTTGTATTGGTTGTGCTGAGTCCAAAAGCTGCTTATTGTTGCCTTTAGGTGACCCACAACCTTGGGTCACCACCTTCTGCCCTTCTTTCACAGCCAGACTTACTGAAATAGCAGTGGACACACATTTCCTCTCCAATTCTTTCCAAAAACTCAATCTGGCTTTTGCCTTCATGTCTTGTTTGAAACTATTCAGGTGAATATCCTGCTGAGTGTATAGCTTTACATTTTTCTCCCATTGCTCATAAACTCTGAACACTTCAGAAAGAGTGGAGATGTAAAATGATGATGGGTGTTCCGAGTTGGGACCTGGAGTGTTGCTCTCAAGAGACTTCCTCTCCCTCATGTCCCAGGAAGGTGTTGCTGACTCACCTTGCAGTTGTTTTCCCAGAAAGATGGAGGCAACAGCTGAGTGGGAAGGTGAGTCCTCAGGGTCCGTGGGGAGGGCATTGTGTTGGCTTTTTCCACACCTTTAAAGTAAGTCAAGAGGAAATGTCTGTGTAATGCAAATATTGCATAAGGAACTTATATTCCAGGCTCTGTCCAGCATGTTCCGTCACTCACCTATTTTCTGTTTGTCTCTTGGCTTTCTTTTGGGATTTCATAATGGGATGTTAGCTATTACCTCCACTTTTGTAGACTCCTACAGCTTGAGAGCTGCAAGGGAGCTGAGAGTTAATTTCCTCCATCACTTTAAGGATTAGGGGAGGGAAGTGAGAATAGACAAATGAGGTCTTGTTGAGGCAGAGCCAGCCAGGACCAGAGCACAGGCCTCTCTCACCTGCCATCCAGTGCCCATTCCTGTGTGCCTGCAGCAGGCTGCCCATGTGCCTGGCCTGCATACCAGTCACTTGTTTCATCTCCAAAAACATATATACTTGATGGCATGTGAGTCATGATTTCTACTCTCTCTTTTAAAACATTTACTGGGCACTTGCTCTGTGAAATCAGTGTGTTAAACCAAGCTTAGAGAAAAACAAAGACAAAGAAGACACGATCCTGGGGCTGGCCTGTGGCCGAGTGGTTAAGTTCGCCGCTCTGCTTTGGTGGCCCAGGGTTTTGCCGGTTCAGAACCTGGGCATGGACATGGCACCGTTCATCAAGCCATGCTGAGGCAGCATCCCACATGCCACAACTAGAAGGACCCACAACTGAAAATATGCAACTATGTACCGGGGGACTTTGGAGAGAAAAAGGATAAATAAAATCTTAAAAAAAAAAAAAAAAGAAGAAGACATGGTCCTTCCGTCTAAGAAGTTTCCATTCTAGAGTTGGAATCAGAGGCTCATGCAAACAACTCCAGGGAGTGAACAGAATTAGTGCTGAGAAATAGAATAGCTCCAAGAATCTCGAGTGATTGATGCTGTTAGGTGACATTGTTAGATTCCTCTATGTGAAGGATCAGGAAGGCTGGCTAAATGCAAGAGGTTGTTTCTAAAAACTGGGGAAAAAACGTGATAATAAAATAGCACTTTATTTTAAATGGGCATCAACAAGTTATGCTCTGAAGCAAGCTTCCCCCTCTCTGGTCCTCTGAGCACCAAGCTGAGTCGACTGAGGAGCTGGGCCCTCTCTAGTCAGTGCCTGGTTTTCCAAAGATGAGGGCAGGATAGCAAGGAACCTGAGGAGAAGATGCCTCTCCCTAACCCTGCCAATAATTCTGGGAGTACTGTTGCCATATGTCACTTTTAAAAACCTGGATCCCAGGGAATGGCACTCTGAGTGCAAACTGCCCTCTCCCTCCTGTGAACTGTACTTGTGGTCCATCTGACCATTGTGGGATTGGGTATTCTTCTGGGCTTGCAGAGGAGGAAGAATCTGCCAGATCCCAGTAAAGAGGATGAGGACAAAGCTCTTTACCCTGAGAGGGATTGGGTCTGAAGTTGAAGCTCTCATTACTGTTAAAAACAAGACAACAGGGCCAAAATGGAGTCAGTTACACTAAGCCCCACATCACCAAGCTGAGACTTAATACTTAAGTTACTTACAGTTTTGGCTGTCTCAAAAATGGAATCTTAAACTAGTCAATCAGGAATTACCCGGTCAGCAGCAGTGAGATCATCTGCCTGACAGATCTGCCATACCCTAAAGGAAAGTGACTTTGCAATAACCAACCCACTTTTTGTTAGTATAGCTTCCTTGTCTCCACTCCTGTCTGCCTATTAAAGTCTAAAGCTGCCTGACTCATGACTTGCTCAATAAAGCCAATAAGATCTTTAAAATTTACTCAGCTGAATTTTGTTTTTTAATAGTTATGGTGGCAGTGATGGAATTCGAGGGAAACTTCTGATGGCTTCAGGGACAACAAGAAACACAGGTATGAGTACCTGCAAACCTTTTGAGGTCTGTCTTTCTTGTTGTTTCTGAGGGTCATGACTAAGTTCCCTCTGTTCTGAGCTCTGCTCTCTTTGTGTCAGGCTCCCGATCTAACTGGCTCTCCAGTCTAGGGCAGGTCAGCTTGAGCTAGCAGATGGGTCCACCTGGAACCCAAGCCCCTCGGTTCAGTCTGCAGTTCCTTATTTGATTGGAAACCCCAGCCCTTGTTTCTGCCCCCAGATTCCACATTGGGAATTTCTGGTGGTTCAGTCTGCAGTCCCCCATTTGCTTGGAATTCCAGTCCACAATCTCCATTTGTTGGGGTTAGGTGGTTCAGTCCTTTCCCCAGTCCCCAGTTCTCCATTGGGAATTGCCTTCTCTTGGCGGGTTACTGTCGGTTTCTGTCAATGTGGACATGAGGTAAAGGCTATTGCTAATGGGAATCTAGAAGCCAAGGCCACAAAATTGGTGGGCATGAATCGAGCACTTAAAAGCTGTTAGTGTGTTCAACACCTAACTCCAAGACTCCTGCATTAGGATAAGTTGGTCACAGAACTGGTTAGATTGATACTAGGTCACCTGTCAACCTCAAGAAAATTTCCACGAATGAGGTATGCACCACATAATCCCCAACCCAGTGGCACATCCCTCTTAGATATTAATTTGGCGCTGAGAGACCAAAGGCTTAGCTAAGGAAATTGGATCCTTAAGTGCCAAAGAATTGAGACACCACCTTCCAGCAGACCTGATCATTTTTTTTTTTTTGAGGAAGGTTAGCCCTGAGCTAACATCTGCTACCAATCCTCCTCTTTTTGCTGAGGAAGACTGACCCTGAGCTAACATCCGTGCCCATCTTCCTCTACTTGATATGTGGGACGCCTGCCACAGCATGGCTTGCCAAGTTGTGACATGTCTGTACCTGGGATCCAAACTGGCAAACCCCGGGCAATCGAAGCAGAACATGCGAACATAACCACTGCGCCTTTGGGCCGGCCCCAGACCTGCTCATTTTATGTCTAAGAACTGTGGTCTTGGGAGCTGTAGATAGTGACAAAAATGGCAAAATCTTATTAAGATAACCTAGAATTACAGTGGCCATTATGGGGAATGTTCCAATTAGACAAGATCATTTATTTAAGAATTGCACTTGAAAACAAGGCTTCCCAAATCAAAGAAACAGAATGGGATAACTATTTTAATAGGTATGCAGAAGCTTCCAAAAGACTTCAAGATTCCAAAATAGCCTCACTGAAAGATTTGTTGCAAAAGGCTAATGAAAAATTAAGGACACAAGAGGTATCTACAACAGAAGACAATAAGACTGATGCGGCTCTTACTTCTCCCCTATATTCTTCTATTAATCCTCCGTCTGAATTGCCTTTCTACTCTGAAGAGACTATTAAACACTTACCTTTTCAAATAAGACCACTAAGGCTGCAGGCAATCCTCTTCAGGTATCTTTCACTTCTTGGTCAAAGACCAAACTAAGGACCATAGTTAAAGAATTTCCTAAACCCAGGGAGGATCCCCAACGGTTTTCTGAAGAATTTAGAATCCTTATTGGAGCCTATGACCCCTGGCTGCCAGATCTTTATCAGCTTATGCACATACTGGTAGGATCTGGAAGCCCAAAAAATGGTTCAAAGTCCACCTATCCTTTTTACCAAGGTTATTGGTTATTTTAACCTTTCTTTCCCAGGAATAGCTATTGCCTTCTTGCGTGTTCCATTTTATGTCCTGATAACCTGACTTGGCTTTCTACCTGCTTGGGGCATGCAGGTTTTTGGTTCTTGCATGTGCAGGCAGCTCAACCATCAGGTTGGGGGCAGAAAAATATGCAGGACAGAAATGTGGGTTGCACCCCATTTGTGGCTAGATGAGGCGGGACAGAAACATGGGTTACACTCCACTTGTGGCTGGGTCCTATTATTTGCCACCTCTCAGGGAAACTATCTAAGTCTTTCTTTCTTCCAGCTAGCTTTGGGAGTGGCCCTGGGTCTTCAGAGGACGGTATCCTTTGCACCCTCTTTGGATGCCTCTTGCATCCAAAGGGGGTTGTTCAATACTGCCAGAAACATTTATTGTTTGTCTTGGTTGAAATATGACGAGATAGTTGAAAGGATTTTCTAAGGCTCTGTGGTCAGAAGTTGGCTGTGACAAATTGAAATGGCAAGCAATAGGATATATTGGAGTATATTGATGAGGATTTTTAGGCTGCTTAATTTAAAACAGTTTATGATGAGGATTTTTAGGCTGGTTAATTTTAAAACTGCAGATGAGAATCAGGCTCCGAGGAGTGGAATTTACTTGCCCTTTGATCAGAGACAATTGCATTTGTGAAGGAAATCTCCATGCCTCCCTCTCTGCGCCAGGAGGAAGGGGGGATGGCCTTATCTCTGGAAACTCTTAATGGGGAAGGCAAGAACTTAAGTTGTTTACTGTCTGGCAACCTCATGTAACTGACCCCCCACCCCAAAATCCTCCTTTGTCTTTAGCTGAAGATAATATTTGAGCGGTGACTTCTGCCATTTACTCAATCCGGTTTGATTCTTATCTAAAAGTTGTGGGACCGCCCAATGGCCGGACCCTACCGGCACTGGTACCATTTTAACTTTTTTTCCTTTGTCTTGTAAAGAGATGACTCACATACCCATGCCTTAAATTTAGCCCTAATCCTCAACTCGGGGCAGCAGCAGGAGCTCTGACTGCCCGTGGGTCCTGTCCCCACACACCAGCTCTGCCTGCCCATGGGTCCTGTCCCCATGCCAGCGGGGCAGCAGCAGCGGCTCTGCCTGCCCATGGGCTCTGTCCCCATGCCAGCGGGGGCAGCAGAAGCGGCAGCAACAGAAGCTCTGCCTGCCCATGGGTCCTGTCCCCATGCTATTCTATACTATTCTCTAAATAAAAGAGCACTACTGCCAGATCTTGAGAGTCTAAGAAATCTTTCTTTCGACTCCTCGGCTCACTGACCCCGCATCATATATGAGGAAGCCATTTGGTATAAACCTAATACGGCCTGACTTTCTTCCAAAAGGGCCTGACTGTGGCCATTGAGCATGCATTGTATATCTGCTTAGACATTTCGAGATAAAGGTGCAACTTACCTCCCCCTCCTAACATTGGCATCTCCTTAAAGATTAAGCATGTTTCTTTA